AGTCTGTCCTCACATGGGCTGGTCAAGTCAGGCCAGGCCTGGCTGGTCACAGCAATAAAACACAAGCCACGTTCTACTTTGGAGGCGGCTGCTTTGCTGATACATAGACAAGCAGTAATCCTGCTGGGTTGCGCAGGTAGCACCCATCCTCCCAGGCTGCTTTCATGAAGGGGAAGTGAAACTGGGGAGAGGAACTAGAAACAACCAAAGAAGTAGGGAGAGGAAGAAAGCTTCCCAGCGGTGGAGCACTGGGGATATCGCAAGGGAATCCCATCCCCTAGCTTGTTTGCTTCTGGGGTGGGTCTATTCAGCTGAACATTGTTCCTGGAGGAACAAAGATCAAGATCCTGGTAAGACTGAGTCACCGAAGCACTGCCTGTATGAGATCTGCTGTAAACCAGGTCAGCACTCAGTAGAGGATCTGAGTGCTGGTAAACCAGTATGTGGCTGTCCCAGTACCCTGTTTCCAGGACAAAGCTTCTAGCTTCCCCACGCTGCTGCCAGGCGGTTGGTGCCTTGTCTCCCTCTCCTCCAAGGGCTATGGGGGTATCTGCTCCTAATCCCAGATGCCCATCACCCTGCCTAGCAGGATGGAGGCCTGGTTGTTTCCATCTGAGCCCTGCTCCTTAGCCCAGTCTCGCTCTTTGCAACAATCATCAGCAGTGAGCTCTGCCCCCAAAGAAGATCTAGCCCAGTGGTAGTTTTTTAAAAGTGCTTCCTTTTAGCCATGAAATACATTGCATTTGTGGCCCTTAGGTGGCCCCCTTATGCTAGCTGTGAAGCAGAACACTTGTTCCCTCTGTGTAGTGCTGCGATGGGGGCACTTATCTGTGCCCCAGCCCAGGTCCTTGTGGTGCTTAGCAGCCTCTGAATCCTCTGCAGAGGGCAAATAGTCCTGACAGGGGCAAAGACAGGCCTTTGCCTTAACCCCATTCCCTGAGCCACCTCTGATTAAACCAAAGTCTGAGCCTTGACCTGCCTTCAGCAGTTCATGTTCCAGCAAAGCAATTTATAGCTTCATTCCTGGGAAAAGCTTTTTTTGTTTGGTTGGTTTTTTTTGTTTTTTGTTTTGTTTTTTGTAGCAGCATATCTCATCTTAGTGCCACATTAATTTCTGGCCACGTACGGAAGTGCCGAGGCTGCACATGCCACTGGAAGCTGTGGTTTTGTAAAACATTAACAAAGGCCTGCCAAAGCAGGCCGGTAGTCTTCAGTCCCTGTTTGCAGATGAGGTGCGTGACCTCAGCTGGGTGACACAGCCAAGGTGACCCCCGGGGCTGGCTGAACCCAGCAATACCTCTGTCAGGCGGTCCCTCGGCCAGAACGCAGCCCGCAGGCAGATCGGCGCGCCGGGAGGCAGGCCTGCTCGCCACCACCCCCGCGGTGCCCGAGTGCCACCCTGCTCCTGCCGTCCTGCTTCTGCTCCAAACGTTTCCTGGCTGAGCTGGATCCGTTCCCTGACCAGTGGCCCAGAGAGCGTGCCAGCACAGCGGGGTGGCTGCGCTCTCGAACGAGCACCTCTTTCCGTGAGAGCTCCTGCCTGGTTCAGCTTGAAGCCACCATGACACCAGACCCCGGTGGTTTCTGCCTGCTTCCTCGGCAGCTCGGGGCTTGCGGGTTCTTCCAGCCCGGGGGCCTCTTATCGCAGGGGCCGAGGGAAAACCGTCCCCCGCTAGCAGCTGTCTGAAAGTTTCATAAATCTCTCTCTGCGAGATAAGCCCGAAGCTCTTTGCCCTTTTCCTGTGGATAAGGAGGGCAGTTCCTGCCCTCTGCAGGGAAAGACTTTTCACACTTCCACTTATCTGCCTTTGGGTAAACTGTGGCTGGTGTCACCTCAAAAACCATCTTTTTGGATCTCTGATCAAGTCTGGTGCTGCTGCTCCGATCCCTCCAGACTCTCTTGAAGCATGTCGACACCGTCCGGGAGGGGATCCACCTCTTTGGCATTGCCACCGTTGGTGACAGAGGAGGCAATTGCTATTTGGCTGGTTCCCGGGCTGCCCTCCTTGGAGACCCTGCCATGACTCGTGGCTGCTTGGGTTTTGTCCCCTTGGAGCAGCAAGTGCCCTGTGGCCAGGGTGAAGGTTTCTGCCTGTTTCTTGCCAGTCACCTCCCAGTCCACCCCCCTCCCTGTGCGTGTCCAGCCCAATGGCACATCGCTGGCTCACTGCTGGGCTGCCCAGCGGTGCAGGCAGCATCCTGAACTGCCTCGCTGAGAGCTGTGTGTTGCGCACCAGTCCGGGCTCAGCCGCGCATGCTGGGTGCACTGGGCACCAGCACCCAGCAGGTTTCTCCAGGGCTTGCGCAAGCCTCGCAGCTGGACTCGAGGCCCTGGGAAGGGTACGAGAGTGCCCTAACGTATGGTTCCCTGGCTCTGCTAGATGCAGGGCCTGCTTGGGGGCTGTTGAAAAGGCTCTTTAGGTCGGACCTCCCCAGCTGCAGGTCGCTGCAGTGTAACAGACACCAACAGCCCTGAGCACAAGGAGCGATTCCCCTCGGTGACCCTGCAGTCAGCCCTCCCGAGGAACAGGACCTAGCAGGAGCTCCTGCCCAGCCTTGCTGAACCAGCTCAAATCCCAAAAGCTCCCCTGGATGGAAGCACTAGGAAAAGCTGCTCCTGTCCATCAGGTCCCGGCTCATCCAGTGGGGAGGTGGGTGTCTGCGGCAGCCTGCCTTCCCTGCTGACCAGCGAGCCCCATGGGTGCCCCAGGCCTGGGTGGCACCAGGCTCTTGCAGCCAGCCCTGCTGTCTGTGCCGTGGCAGTCAAAAGACTTGTTACCTTGCAAAAAAAAAAAAAGAGGGGGGGAATGAGACAACCTGGTTCCCTGAGCAAAACAGAAACCCTCTGTCCCCTCCCAGTGCAGGCAGCGATGCCCTGCAGTTCAGGGAGGGCTCCCTTGGCCCCCATCAGCCAGCCCATGAAACCCACTGCCCCAGGAGCCTGCTAAAGCCCCTCAGCTGGGAATCAGGCTGATTCCTCACACCCACATACAGTTTTAGTACAGCACAACCCCAGCCCATATGCCGTTAGTGGCAGCAGCTCAGCAGGTGCTGAGTACACAGCTGACACCAGCATTTTCCATGTTCTGGCTTTGATTTCCCAGGACCAGCTCTGCTTGGCTGTCCGCCTGTCAGCTCCGACGTGTGGTTCACCCGCTCGGCCCAGAGGACGCAGCAGCGACGCAACTCCGGCTCTGGAGGGAGGCACTCCCCAGCAGTTTGACTGTATCTGCTTCCTCGTGAAGGTTAGTAGAGATGAAGCTGCAGCACAACACGCTGTCGGTGCGGCAGCATCGCCCCACGCAGCACAGGCCGGGCAAGTTTCCCGTGCCAGAGTGCCTTTCCTCGCGCCCCAGGCACTGTTTCCCTCCGTGCTCAGTGTGAAAGGCCTCTGTAATCGCAACTGCAAGACATGGTCTTTGCTTAGAGGCTGGAGTTTTGCCCAGGGCTCAGTGGAGTTAACTCTTACGATCATTTTTCCCCCATCCTATTTTCTTAAAAGCCTCGGAGAGAGGTGAGTTCAGCTAGGAATTTCTGGGCCCAATTTCAAGCTCTGTGTTTTTAGCCTCTTGAGCTGGCTGCAGAAAGCCTGAACACAGGCTCTTCATGAGCTGCCCAGAGCCTGAAAACAGGAGGAAGAATAAAAGGAAAACCCGACTTTTGTTGAAACTCTTTGCAAAAGAGGTCAGCAGCAGTTTTTCATAAAACCTCTGAGCCAGCCAGACCACAGGGACAAGCAGGACTGCTCACAAACCAGGAACGGGACAGGGGTTAGTACCTTTGCTGCGATCAAGCTCTGTACGGAGCTGGCACAAGAGCACTGCCCTTCTCTTGCTGAAAGGGCACGTGTCCACCCTACCTGCCCTGCTGCCAGTCCCTGGTTTGGCCTGTCAGTGTTGGGGCTGATGGTGGCACCTCAGTCCCTCTGCAAGCCCTGTCCTGGCCCTGGGGGAGCAGGTAGCACCGGGACAGTGGCTAACGCTGCCTCTTGCCCCAAAGCCAGCTCCCAGCCTCCCTGAGCCTGTGCCACCCCGGTGCTCTGGGAACCATCTCCCTTCTCCTTTCCAGCCCTTTTGCTCCTTCCCACTCCCCCACCACTGTGGCCGAGCAGGGCCTGCGTAAGCATTCCCAGCTAAGGCCTAATCCCTCTTGCTATTTTTAAAACCCCTGCCTCACTCCAGGCCTTTTTTTTCCCCCCACATTTGGGTGCATGAGCTGTTTACCTCTCAAGCCCCCACCTTGTGCAAAGGAGCTGCTCTTGCCTCAAGCACCAGCTCCACTAATTTCTTGTTGGTGTCAGAGATGTGCAGGAGGCTTAATGAAAGGAGGTGGCCCGGAGGGTGGCTGTAGGGATGGAGCAGCAGAGGGCAGAGCTATCGCGCTCCCCTCACTCTTCAGGCATTCGCCCCAACTGCACTGGCAGCTACTCTGTCTCCGCTGCATGGTGCCCATGCCCCAGCCTCGCTCCAGGCGGCATTTCCCCTATCCGTTACACTTGTTGCTGCAGGATTGCATTGCTCTTGCAGAGCAGGGAGGGCAAGGCTCTCACCACTTCTGCTTTAGAGAGGAATGTGAGAGCATGGTATAAATATCCACAGCCTTGATGAAAGCCATTGCAAAGATTAGCGCTTGCACAGCAATCCACCAAGGGAGAAAGCGTTGAGTGTCACACACAGCCCACATTCCCTTTCTGTTCCCCAGCTGCCTCTCCTGTTTCCAGCCCTGGGCTCAATCTCTGCCACCAGCACTTTCATTTCATTCCTCCCTCCACCCCCGTTCCCTCTTGAAAGGAAGGAAATAATAGGCCCTTTGTTGGGTTGCTGCGGTGCAGGCACTGAGCAAGCAAGGAGCCGCACGGGGCGAGGGGCTGCTGGCCACGGCCGCCTGCCTGGATTACGGCATTCCAGCGCCTCGGCTTGTGGGAAGTTGGGCTCATGGCATGTGGAAGGACCTTGGCTCTGGCTTGCTAACATCCACAAAAAGGCAGCCAAACACAGAAATTCCCCACACCAGCTCTGCTGACTTTATGTAAATTAATAGGTCCTTGAGTTTGGTTTCTGTACAGACATATACAAATAAGAAACAGCTTCATATTTACATTAAGTTAATCAATTAGGCTCTATAAAAACAACAAAAGAACAGCTCTTTCTAAATTAGTGTCTTATGTACAGACAGCAGAGGTTAGCTCACATCCTTGGCGCGTTCACATTGACAGTGTAATGTACACTAACCTTTACCCCCTGTCCCACAGGTGAGTGCCACGCGGACTGGTCCCTCGCGGTCCCAGCACAGACGGGCAGCAGGCACAAGTGTCATGAGCAAAAGGACTTTAAGCCTGGGCTTTTCTGCTCCCCGGGGCCCGGCAGGGAATAGTGTTTTTCCCCCTCTCTCGTGGGGCACGCTAGTACCACAGGTCAATTTGTGTAATGTACACTACCAGCGCTCTGTGGATCCCATGGAAGGCACAAGACCAGCACAGATCTCATGTTCGAGGCGATGGTGGATGCTCTGCCCAGCTCCTCCTCGGCACTCCTCAGCAGCGTACGCCTACAGCAGCGCGAGGCTGCTCCAGCCCCTGGCCAAGTCCTTCGAAAAGCCCCAGGGGTAAACGGAGGGACCCAGCCTGGGGTCACACGATGCTGGCGAGTTCTGTGTTGTCCGACTCGGAGCTGCTGTTGCTCTCCTCCCTAGGGGCAAAGGGTTGGGGAGCAGGCATGAAGCCAGCCCTTCCTCCCTGCTGGCTCCCCAGCCAAGAGGGGACTTCTGCCTTCAAGCAAGCAAGCCTCAGAGGAGCTCAAGAGGGACATTGCCACTTTGCTCAGTCCTCACACCAGTTCCCTGCCTGAGTGTTGCCAAAGGTTCCCTGCTGACATCTAATACCTCACGCCATTACTTTTGGAGCCAGGACTGGGAAAGCCAGCCCCTCCCTCCGCCTGCCACCCACAGGTTCCAGCAGATTCCTGCACAAGGCATGCTGTGCCCCAATCAGTCCAGGCCTGATGCTTCCCCCACGTGTCCCACTGACACACCACGCTTGCTGACTCCCTGGCACAGGCTGGGACCCAGAGCAATGCTCACCTTAAGTCCTGCAGGGCTTTCTTGTTTTTCCTCCGCTTCTCCTCATCAATGGGGTACAGTTTGAACAGGAACAGGCCCAGCAGGATCAGCCCCACGGGCACAGCTGACACCAGCATCTTCAGGGTGAAATTCACTTCGCTGGGCTGAGAGCAACCTCGGGTCTGGTACCCTGCAAAGCTATGGACAGAGAAGGGCCTTCAAGCAAGGGCAATACAGGCTGCCACCTGCTCTCCCACACCAGCTCACGAGAGGTCTCCTCAGGAAGGAGCAATCACTGCAGGACAGCCCTGCAGGACAGCCTGGCTTTGGCTCCAAGCAGCTCTCAGCCACAGCACAGTATCGAGGTTTCCAGCCAAAAGCTGCAAAGCAGCAAGTTCTGGTACCTCAGTGATGCACGTGCTCTGAACACGAGGGGAAGGCAGCTCGCGTGGTTTAAGAACAGGCAAGTTTGTACAAAGCAATGCTTTCCCTCTGGGGAAAGGTTTATGGATTTAGACCCCTCCCCCCTCCACTTCCCTTCCAGACTTTGGAAAGCAAACTCCTAGATACGGAGGTGTGAGACTGGCTTTTCTTCTTGGGCCCCAGCTCCTGCAAGAACTCACTCTAAACTGAGCGTGGAGATGCCCAGGGAGACCCCGGAGGTGAACTTGGTAAAGAAGACATAGAAGGAGAAGAAGATGGCTTCATGGCCACGGGAGTCAGGGTGCTGCAGCTTGAAGTCATCTATGACATCTGGGAGCATGGACCTGCATGGAGATTGGGAAAGTGAACGCATGGACCAAGCCTATGAGGCAGCATCTCCTCCTGCCTCTCCTAGGAGGATTTCCCATTAAGATCCCCATCTTGGGCTGAAACATGGCAAAAAAGCCTTCCAAGGATTTAAAGCTTCCAGGCTGAGCCAGGAGGTGTGAGCAGCATGGGGACCTCTCACTCACCAAGGCAGGAGGAAGGCAGCGGCGACACTGATTCCAGCTGCAACGGCCACGATGTAGGTGATGATCAGGTTACTGTCCAGGACAACCACCATGATGAGGAAGGGGATGGCAGACTGGACAGGGGACAGAAACCAGTGTTGGCCTCAGCAGAGCCTGACCCAGACCCCCCGGGTTTTCCCCACCTCCCTCCCACTCCTGCCAGCCCTCAGGAAGGGCTGCTGTCTCGCCATGGGGACAGCCAGGGAAGCAGTGGTGCAGGCTTCCTCCCAGAGCCCCCCAGCAGCCATTTCCAGGACGAGTGGACGCTCTGCTTCCTCTGCAGCTACGTTTGCAATAGCACAAAAGGCAGGAAGAAGGACAGTTGCCAAATGAGCAGTAGCCCCTGCCCAGCTCTGGACCCTCTCCAGAGGATGTAGTTCTGCTTGCCCTGTGCAGGAAACCATCTGACCACGCACCTCTGTGCCCGAGGGGACCCACTCACCGAGATGCCCACGTAGACAGCAGTCTTCTTCCCAAAGCGGGTGAGGAACCACTGCCAGAGGGGAATGGTCAAGGTGGCAGAGAGCTATGAGGAGGGAAGGAGGTCAGGGTGTTATTTGCTAGCCAAGGTCTTCTCTGGGGCCAAATCTCTTCCCAGCAGGGAGCAGCTCCCAGACACTGCCTGCCCCCACCCTGCCCTGTGGCATCCTTCCCAGCACCTCTGATTTGCACACACTCCCGGGGCTGGCACGCATCCACACTGCCTACACCAGCCCGCCGTCCTGCCCTCACCCCATCCCTCGCCTGCCTCCGCTCCCAGGGAAGAGAGCTTGTGACTGGAGCAGCTCCACAGGGCCACCTTCTCCCCTGGTGCCTCTGTCCTCAGGGCACCAGGTGCCAGCAAACCTGCACCCAGTCCAGGGGTCAGGCAGGGGGAGGATCTTTGTCCCCAATTCTCAGTGCCAGGAAGGGGCCTGATGTTGGCACAGACATGTGAACACCGTGCGGCCGAGAGCTGGGGGCTGCTGCAGCTCTCTCCCAGGGCACTGTGGCATCTGGGGGAGGGATGGAGCCCGTCCAGCCTGGGTGACGGTCCCCTCTGGCTGTCAGGCCATAGGACTGGGGGGCTCCTGAGGGGCAAAGCCACAGCAGAAGAGACTGCTGTATTGGGGCTGTAAGCAGGGAGCAAACACCCAGGGTCAGGCCTTGGGAGCCTGCAGGCGCGAGGACAAGAGGGCTGCCTTGCCCCGGGGCTCTTTCCTGCTCACACCTCTCCACCCCATCAGGCAAGGGCTGAAAGGGCTCCCAGGAAGCTGCTTTGCTCCATCCTCCCGGCAATAAACTGCTGGGATCCTTTGCTCATGGGGGAAGGGAGATAAGCGGTAGGATTTGGACAAAAGGCTCCCGCAGCTCCTGTTCTCCCCCCTTCCCTGGCTGCCTTCATGTGGAAACAAAAGCCTTGCTGTTCTCGCCAACTGGCCAGGCCTTTGCAGGAGGTTCAGTAGCTCCTTTCCCCTCCCAGTCTCCTGGGGGACCTTCGGTCACTGTCCTCGCAGCAGACAGTTGCGGCCCCATGGCCTCCCTCCCCTCGAGCATTCATCCCGCACCGAATCCTGGGGCAGACCCACAGGACCCCCGCACCGCCACATCTTGCTGTGGCACGATCCTGGCCCTGAGGGGCCACAGGACAGGAGGGAAGGGATGACGCGAGCCCAGCCGCAGCCCGTACGCACCATGATGGCCAGGAGGATGTTCTGGAACTCGTTGCGGAAGCCAAGGGTGTAGGTGCAGAACAGGGCAAAGTTGCCCTCCAGCAGCTGGGGAAAAGGCAGATGGTGGGTTAGGGGGTGGAAAGATGGACATCCCACCCCACCCCAGAGGGACGCATGTGCTCCTTGCAAGGCTGCACCCAACACATGAGCAGGGAAAGAAAGCAGCCATTCACCAACTCGTCCAAGGGCACAAGGCCACATCCTCCCTTCTCTGCCTGGGGCTGCTCTGGCTCATTCATCCTGGCACCTCACATGCTCCCAGCCTGCCAGGATCCCTTACTGCACCCTACACTGTTCATACCGCAGCGATCACCAAGCCACACTGCTGCCTTTCCCTCTCCCCCATCCTCCAAACCTGGCTGTGCCCTTACCATGAAGGCCAGCGAGGTGAAGAGGAAGCCAGCAATCAGCTTGATGTAGGCACCATGGTTCATCACCAGCTTCAGCCCCCGGAAGAAGGAGACAGGCTCGTCCGACTGGAGCTCAGAGGCCTCTGGGGAGCAGAGCAGAACCAGCTGGTTGTGAGAGCCACAGAAACAGCAGCCTGGGGCACAGCATCGCGCAGCCAGCTCCAGAGCACCCTGCCCAAGGCAGTCAGGGCAGTGCCTGCGAGGACCCCCTGCCCTGGCCCAGGGGTCCCTCAGCCCCATGCAGAGGGGGAAGGGAAAGCGTGGGGGATTTGCCTGGCATGAGCAGAGCTGGCCACAAAGCGGAGGGAGGGAAGGACAGACTGCTGGACTTTGGACAACATCCTACATCCCGGTGTCCAGGTTGGCACTGGAGACCTTGGCCAGCCAAGCCTATGCTAGATAACATTCATCTCCAAGAGGCTGAGCAGACAAATGAGTCTTGGGGCTGTGCTTTGCTCTAATACACCCTGAATATGCTCCAGTCATGTCATTCCCACAGCACTGTTCTTCCACAAAGCCTTCCCTGGGGCCCTATGCCAAGGCCTCAGCTCTACCTGCTCCTCTCCTTCGGGGCTTCACGCATGGAACGAGAGGCTCCAATCTTTGCTTCTTATGCCAGGTTAGAGCAGATGTGGCAAACAAAGCTGTCCTGGCTGGAGGCGACCAAAGCCTTCCTTGCACTGCACACTGCTCCCCAAGGAACAGGGAGGACTCGGGGGGCTCCTAAGGATGTCCCTGGCAGGCACCACAGCATTTCCAGGAGCCCAAAGTACTTCTGCATTTTGCAGGCCTAAGTAGCCTGTGACAACTCAGTCCTGAGACAGAGGCAACTGTAAAGCAGCCCCAGAGCCTCCTCTCCACCCAATGGGCCAAAGACTATTCTCTGAAACATATCCCCATGTTTTTCCTTCCTGCTCTTTACAAACAAGTGAGCATCCCCTGGGGAAGGGCCCGCTCGCCAGAAGACACAGCGACCCCAGCAGCAGACCCAGCCCTCCACACCCCGTGCCCCTGCAGAGCAGCTGTTTGCAGAGCCCGTGGGCCAACTCACCTCTCTTCTCCCGCACGCCCATCCACAGGATCACGGCGCAGAGGATGTAGAGGCCCCCAATGACCCCCGCTGCAATCATGTAGGCATTTCTCTGCAGGAGACATGGGGAGCAGTGAGGGAGGCTGCTCCTCCCAGGAGCCAGCCCTGCTAAGGAGGCAGGTGGCTACGGCAAGGAGGACATAGCAGGGAGCGCCAGTGGGTCCCCTCGGCTTACTGTGTCTGTGAGCGAGCCGGTGTCGTGGGTCATGTTCACCTCCTCCATGGCCACTGAGGAGTTGGTCTCTCCGATGAAGATAGGGCTCTGGATGCAGGGAGTATCCACCTTGCCCACAATCTGGCCCTGGATGGCGGTGCCCAGCACAGTGCCCAGCACTTCCACTGTCATTCCTGAGCGGAGATGCCAACGAGACTGAGCACAGCCCTCTGAGACCCGGGAAGGCAAGCACAAAGCCCCACTCTGCGGCAGAGCCTCCCTGACTGCCCTTCAGCGCGCGATGCATTGCCCTTGGCCCGCAGAGGTGAGCCGGTGCGGCTCTCCTGCAACTCCCTCCAGACCCCCGAGTGAAGCCCTGTGCTGTGCAGGAAGGAGAGCGTTCACTGGGGAAACTGAGGCAGGGAGCAATGCCAAGACTTTGTCTTGGTGCTCACTCTGCTATGTGACAGGGAAAGAAAAGACTTGGGAGCTCAGATCCCCTATCGCCTGCTCCGGGCAAGACCAAATCCCATCAGCTCAGCTCTCACCAGGCTCAACGGGGGGGGGAGCCACAGGAGAGGAACAGCAAGAGCTGGAGGCTGCGATCCAAGCCCTGAACGGTGCATCACACACCATCCTCAGGCTGGGATGTGATCAAACGAGCCCTCCCAGCAGCACACCTGGAGGCTCTCAGCCCAGAAGAGCCACGGCAGAGGGCTCAGACCGCCTCAGCCCAGGACTGAGCACCGGCCACCCTGCAGAGCTGGGGAGGAAGGAGGGAGAGGCAGGGGAAGGCTCTTACGGTAGGCAGTGGCTGAGTCCCGCTCGCTCTGCTCCCTGCTGATGAACATGGTCAGGGCGGAGTAGGGCACGTGGAAGCACTGCAACGGCACGAGGAAGAGGAGAATCAGCCCAGGGAGGGTGCGACAGGCCGCAGCACCGGGGCGGAGGGGAGCTGGCCCCTCCGTGCAGCACAGCGGGGCCGAGGCAGGGAGACGTCCTCTCCATCCCTCGCCCACCGGCCCGAGGATGCCCAGAGCCCAGCTCACCGTCACCAGGGTCTGGAAGGCGCAGTAGAAGATGAGGTACCACAGCACTTGGCCTCTGGAGATGTCCGGCACAAACCATATCAGGAAGTAGGAGATGACAGCAAACGGAGTGGAGAAGATGATCCTTTGGGAGGACACAGCGTTAGCCTCGCAGGCAAGGAGTGCCTCGGGTGACCGGCTGGGCTCCGGGGGGTTTGGGCACCTGATATTGGGGGCTCCTCCAAGCTGCCGCTGGCTGTCTCACCCTGCTCGTACCCCTGGGCAGGGGGCAGGGGTTGCTGCT